TCATACAAAATTTTTAAATTAAAAACTTTACTTGTTACTTTCGTAGTGTTTACATTTTCTACCAAAGGATATTGCACTTCAACGACTCCCTCCCTTGGCCCTAGCAGGATTCCATACTTTTGGAGCCTTACGTGGCCGGAAGCAATCCCGCAGTGGCTCAAGCGATGTGCCAGAAGTGTTCCGCAGTCTTAAAGAATTTTTAATTGCTTTAAAAACAAGCTGAATGCTGTTTTATTTATTTTGACGGTCCAGGGAATGGGGCAGGGGAGTGGAGAGTGCGGCGAACGGAAGGCCGGGGGCAAGGCGATGCCATAGACAAATTCCATTAAACTTTTGGCTCCTAAACTGTGTCAAAGTTTTGGCCGGGGAGTAGGCTTCCTTGGTCCGCTGGCTAAGGATAATTCACTGGAGAACGAGGGACGGAACCTCAGAAGCTCTCTGCGTAAAAGTTTTAGCGCAAAGTAAACTCAACTCCGAATGAAATGAAAATGCCACAGAGGCAGTCCAATAGGGTATAAGATGAGGGTGGGGCTGGGCTCGGCTCGGCTCGGAGACTGGTGTTCTTGGTGAGCAATCAATTTCTGTTGACGTTGACAACAAGGCAAAAGTCCGGCTAAAGTTAAGGCCAAAAAAGAGGCTTGGCAAGCGGCGAGCGGCAAGGGATGGGGCAGACGAGATGAGACGCGACGGAGGCAACAAATCAAAGTCGATGCCGATGCCCCTTAAGACGCCTGTCGAATTGTTCTGGACGCCAGGGCGTCACGCCCCCTCTGCCCCCTCTCTGTGCTGGTGCAATATCTCAATCGTAAGTCTGCTGCGGTTGAAGTGTATTTAAAAGTTTGATTAGTTTTTAATGTTTGTGAAGCAAGTTTTTCATCAACATTTCCCTTTTTTTTTTTTTGCCAGTAATTTCTATAAACTTTTTCATGAAATTCGATTTGTTTGTGGCACTTATGGTACTATGCATCTATATATGCGGAAATACTCCATAAATGTATGTACATACGTGCCAGCATTTATGCAAAATCGTACTAATCACAAGCATATTGCATAAAATAACAATTTCATAAATTGAAACAAATGTCTAGACACATTGTATGCAGCCCATTTAAAATTGTATGAATACAATTATGCAAATTATTTCAAGTCAATTTTTCCTGTGTCCTGACTGCCTATACAAAATAGGCTTCTATTTATTGTTCGGCTAGTTTACTAAATTGGGGGGCCATCTAAATAATTTTGTGGTTTTCGAATTTAAATCTTTGACTGTATATTTAATTTGATTTTGAAACCTTCATACCCAATTTTCAGAGTAATATGATTTATTCGAGTTCTGGCAGTCTTCCAACCGTTATTAAAATTATTTTAATCATCAACTGCAGGCAGAGGGAAAATCTTCCGCCCTCCATCTGCCGCCTTTCAGCAGTTGAATTATGTATAGGTAAAAAAGCCTTCTTTGGATGCACTCATAAATTATGAATTATGAATGTCAAGGTGGCTACGTGTGTGGCCTGAGGCTTCGGTTCAGCCCGGCAGGCTCTCGTCCCTCGGGTCCAATAATGTTAAGAGGACCACGGCCTGAAGGGGCAGGATCCGGGGCAGAGTTAATAGAAACACTTTCTGTGTGCAGAAGTTATAAACATTTATGGCAGCTACTTAAAAATGTCAAGCGAAAAAATTATGATAATGATACGTGACATTTGAAAGCAATAACAATTTAGTTAGCACGCACTTTTTGATTACTCTTCTCTTTCATCGGAGCCTGCCATCGGGTCCTTCGACCATCTCCTTCGCCACAGGCTTGTTTTATTATTTATGAGTTTTGTCCACATAAAATTGAAAAATTGCTTTAAAAATTGCCCTCATATACATGTACATTTACGTGTATATACCGGAATAAAATGCTTCCGCATTTTTGAGTTTTTAGGAAGGACCTATGGTACTTTTAACAAATAATTTCTATATGAGTGTAATAACAATAATAATAAAGCACCGGAATAAGAAAACAGTGAATGTGTGAATTAAGAAAGAAAATTAAGGAAAGAGTACCATGATACTTTAAATAATATGTGATACTTGGTGTATGGGCCGTTTGGGCTTGAATAATTAGTCAGTTTTGGGCGAGTTAATTTTTTATTGTTTCTCATAGTTACGAATTAACCGAAAAACAAAAAAATAGGTCTAGAATCCGGGCGAGATCCCTCTGAGAAAAGCGAGCAAACAAAACGGCAACTGGCAACCAGCAACCGGCAACCAGCAACTGCAACCAGCAGCAGTGGCAACAACATGAACAGCAAAGCACACATCCTGTGTGTCAACTGAATAATTCGTTGCATGCACAAAAGGCATGCACTCACATCCGGTTTCCTGTCATTCTTTTTGCTTGCCAGAGACAGCGACGGAGTCATCGCCAGAAAGGATGAGGATGGGATGTGGGAGCAGCAACAGGAGATGGCCCGAGAGTGGCCAGGGCAGCAATTTATGTCTATGTATTTGCTGTTGTTGTCTTTATGGCGTGTTTGGTATTTGTTGCAACTTTTGTTTTGAATTCCTGCGGCCTTGTCACACGGCTCCATGAGCTTGCAGTTAAATTTATGTTTCAGAGCAAACACACACACAATAACACCAACGGGCAGGCGTAACTCTTAACGAACAATGAAAAGGGCCAACGGAAAAAAGTGTTGCATACCGAGCAGGCGCAGGGGCCGGTCATAGGTCGCTAGGGACGGCGACGCGTCGCCCGCTTTTGTAAAGCAGCGTATAATCCGCTGATTGCTCCCAAGGTTCAGCTTTCAACAATGAAGGACACATCGCATACACAGAGAAAAATTAAAAGGGTAGGAGACTATATTGTCAAATGCATGGCTTTAGTGATATTAAAATTATACTCTATCTTTTAGTTAGTGTAGAGTACACAGAGGTAGCATTCAATTTAAGAGTGTCCTAAGTGCCGGTTCTGAACCTGTCAACACACCTGTCCCCACAGAATCCAGAACTTTCCCATGGCCAAAAGTACCCATCGGGCTGCCCAAGCCAGTATTAATTTTGCATATGAATACCAGCACCACGGATTGCTGGATCCTTGTAGTCCGTTGGTGGTGCTGCCTCTGTTGCTGTCATAACTTTTCTTTGGCGCACTCATGTCATGTTTATTGCATGCAATAAATTTCATTGACAAAAAATCCTAAGCCCCCATCTTCTATAAAAGCAAGTTTTGTGGAGGAGTTTCTATTTTAAGCTCTGTAAATGGTCAATGAATTAGTGAAAGGTACACAATTTATACTTTATATTCTTACCAATTTCTCAAAAATAAATATTTTAAAGCCCAGTGAAAACGAAAATCAAATAAAAATATTTTACTTTGTTGAAACGGTTTAGTTTCCATTATGAAAAATAATATGTTTTAAAGCTTTGATTTTTTAACCTATTAACTGTTCTACCTGCTAAAAGGATTCTTTGGCTTGTATTTATGGTGCTCGGTTCGGTAGCTTCATTAGGCAGCATCTGAGTAAATCAAGCCAGGTTGCAAACGTAGCAGAAAAATTAATATGATAAATACCACGTATGCAGGAGGGAAGAAAGTATTTTTGGGCAACACATTCGGCTACATTCCTGCGGTAAAAGGGTAAAATAAAGCTGCCAACTATGCAGTTGTTCTTGCACTGAACTGCACTTAAGTAAAATGAATTGCTTGCAATTTATTTTTGTTGCTTATCATATAAATTGCACTCGCCTGCCTGCAAGTCATTATTTGGCACATTTGCGCTCAATGACTGCACATTGTTTCTACTTACTTCTTCCCGGCCACTTGCCCCTTTTCCATTTTGTTCCCCTTACCATCCCAGCCGGGAGCGTTAAATAGGAGTGACGAACCGGAAGTACCCAGATACAAGAACTACTGACCCGGTGGGTTGGCTGCTTGAACAGACCTGGCCAGTTGGTCTTTTGCACTTGACTGCATCTCTGACCTCTGGCACAGAAATTCGAAGGCATGTGGCCAGGCCAGGTGCGAGGTTATTGCCTGAGAATGCCACTTGAGCATTGGCAGCCTTTTTATTTACTAGCACTTGCCCACTGAACTAAACACCCACACCAGTTCCTTTCCATTTACCCATTCTATAAATTCTACTCGAACTACCGATCATCATCAAATACAGAAAGTAAATGAAATAAAATACACAAGCTGAAAGCTCTTACCAATATAAAAGACAATCATTAGAAAAAACCTTATCACCAAATGGTTGCTTCACAATTATCATTGTGGGTAAAATAATACTCTATGACTGATTAATAAGTTTCAAAAAAAAACAATATTCCGTTTCAATGTTAGTTTTCTTTTTAATACTTTTTAGTTTATTCATTTTAAAATGGAGTATGAACTCTAAAATCATACTTTACAAAATAATGTAACATTTTTTTCTTGTTATAATAAATACCCCACTAATAATTATTTTGAGTGGGGGTACTCATTTTGAGTACTTATTATGACTAACAGTCAATCAAACTGTTCAAACTCAAGATATTTACATACTTAAGATAGGTCATTGCATATCCTGAATTGATATCAGAATTTAGATTTAAAATGACTTTAATTAGTTTTTAATGAAAACATGTTTTTGTTTAGAAAAAAAAGAAATACAAATGCTGTTTTCAGTAATTTAATCAAGATGTACCCTATCTAACATGGCTTGTACTTCCCCACTCATTTGTTGTTGATAGGGGACTTACAAATTGACTCGAAATAACCGGAAACTGAAAATTTTTTCCAATCTTAATGCAGTAAACTTAAATTATTAAATATTAAAGAGCAACTGTATTCGAAAAAAGGTATTTAAACTGTGTTTTTAACAATGGGCAATGCCAAATTAATATTCTTTATGTTTTAAAATATTTTTTTGAATATTGGTACACAGATAATTTTGTTGAGATAAGAAAAAAAAACGCAGTGGAGGAGAAAGTTTATAGTTTCAAGTTTAAAAGTTTCAAGGAAAAGTTTCAAGTTTATATTTTCATATGTTTTTATTTTAGTTTAAATTGTATCGTAGGTTAGTGTTTAGAAGCGTCCGCCCTGACCGAATCCTTGCTGGCCGTTTCCACCCTGGCCGAATCCTTGCTGGCCATTTCCGCCTTGGCCAAATCCTTGCTGGCCACGTCCACCCTGGCCGAATCCTTGCTGGCCATTGCCGCCTTGGCCGAATCCTTGCTGGCCATGTCCACCCTGGCCGAATCCTTGCTGGCCATTGCCACCTTGGCCGAATCCTGGATGACCATGTCCACCCTGGCCGAATCCTTGCTGGCCATTTCCGCCTTGACCGAATCCTTGCTGGCCATGTCCACCCTGGCCGAATCCTTGCTGGCCATTGCCGCCTTGGCCGAATCCTTCCTGACCATAACCACCCTGGCCGAATCCTTGCTGGCCATGTCCGCCATTTTCGAATCCCTCCTGGTCGCGGTGGTGGTGGTGATGCTCATGGTGGCGATGACCGGTGACCACAACAGCAATGATGGCGAAAAATAAAATCTGAGGATCAAATAAGCATAATTAAAACTTAGAGAAATTCAACTGTTTAGTTTTCAAAGGACTTACGAAGAATTTCATTTCGATTCTTTGGTTTTTTTGTTCACGCTTTGGAATACGTTCTGATGAGCCTAAAAAAATGAATGGGCTTTTATAGCAGTTCGAAGAGTACTTTATAAAATCAAAGTAATAAAATTTAGTTTACACGAAATGTTTCGGCGCCTAATTTGCTTATCAATTAGACCTCAAGCTAAATTCAGTTGTTGTAAGTAAATAAATTGTTGAAGATGAGATGGCTATTCTAACTGATTGTGACCGACGATCGGCACCTCTGGTCTGTACTATTATTTGGTTTTTTTGAAAAGGGATTAGCCAAAAAGCTGCTGATTTCCATGCCGCACTAATTAACGATCATCATTAAATTATGACCCTAGCATTATGTCAATAGGCTTAGAAGAAGCATAGAAGCTGTGCGGCCTTCGTATGACAGTTTCTTTATGAGATAGAAATACAAGAAACTGTGGAGAAGAAATTCAAACACATTAAAAATTCTTATTTTCATTAGTTTTTATTATTTTTGGTTGTATCGTTAGTTAGTATTTAGTAGCGTCCACCATGTCCCCCATGTTGACCATGTCCACCTTGGCCGAATCCTTGCTGGCCATGTCCGCCCTGGCCAAATCCTTGCTGGCCATGTCCGCCCTGGCCAAATCCTTGCTGGCCATGTCCGCCCTGGCCGAATCCTTGCTGGCCATGTCCGCCCTGGCCGAATCCTTGCTGGCCATGACCACCCTGGCCATGTCCTTGCTGGCCATAACCGGCGGCCATTACAACAGCAATGATGGCGAAAAATACAATCTGAGGATTAAATAAACAAAATGATAACTTAAAGAAATTCAACTTTTTGTTCTTAAAAAGACTTACGAAGAATTTCATTTTGATTCTTTGGTTTTTTGTTCACGCTTTGGAATACGTTCTGATGATTTGAAAAAAATAGGTGGGGGCTTTTATAGCAGTTCGTAGAAAAACAAAGTAATAAAATTGTGTTTACACAATATATTCCGGTGCCTAATTTGCTTATCAATTGGACCTCAAGCTGAATTCAGTTGTCGTAAGTGAATTAATTGTTGAAGATGAGATGGCATATTCTAACTGATTGTGACCGACGATCGTCACCTCTGGCCTGAACTTTTGTTTTGATTAATTTGTTTTGTTTGTTTGGCAAGTGATTAGCCAAAAAGCTGCTGATTTTCAAAGCTCTCTGATTAATGATCATCTTTTAATAGCATACTATTAGGAAAGGTGGAAAAAAAAATCACGGCTTTGTTTTATAGCAGCCTTGTGAAGAATTCTTTTTGGCATGTTTAATAAAGTGAGGTATAAAAGTATTCAATTTGATTTCATAGTAGCGTTTTTCTTTTTTTTTTTAAGAAAAGAATCTTGGTTTGATTTTTATCACCATTTGTTCAACATAGTTACCAAAAAATTAATTCAGAACATTTAAAGTTCTAAGAGTATTCCTTTAAAATTTTTTAGTAAATTAAGGTTGCTTTTTAAGTTCCCAGTAAGCCGCCTATTTTTATTATCCTAGGATTATGTCCAAGAGCTATCATACTAACTGTGAAACGATATTTGCAGTTACACCTTTTTTGATTTAAGTTGAAAATTCTAATTTTCTTTGCTTAAGGATCTCCCAAGAAAGTTTTTTAATTTTGCTTATCTTAAGCTAATTTGAGCTGGTACTTTATAATATAATATATTGTATACAACATTTTTAATACAGAAAATATATATAAAAAAGCAAACAGAACTTAATATTTGGAACCCCTGTGTCTCAACAGTGGCCTGTGAGCACGTTTCTAGTGCGTGCTGATAACAAGTACAATTACCCAAGCGCGTCCCAGACTTGAAACTAGATTAATCCCAAATTCGAACCAGAAACACATTGAAGGGTTGTCCCGTTGGGTCTTAGTTCGCTTATCAGTGGCCAAACATTTACTCCAATCAAATTTACTCGCCAGACAAATGGAAATTTTATTGTGTTTCGACCGTCTGGCTTGTGTAACCCTAGGGCTTGTGACGAAACAATGGTGATTACTGGCGGGTATAAAAGAGCGTCTGCGCTCCAAAAAGATTATTAGTACCAGCCACATTAGCCGGAACATCAGCATCATGAAATTCTTCGTAAGTTTTAAAACCATCAAAAAAGGATGACTTCCTTTATTTAATTTTGAATATCCCTGTAGATCGTATTCCTTGCCATCTTCGCCTTGGCGGCTGCTGCACCACAATGGGGAGGTGGATTTGGAGGTGGATTCGACCAGCAGCAGCAGCAGCAGGGAGGATTTGGAGGTGAATTCGGAGGTGACCAGCAGCAGCAGCAGCAGGGAGGATTCGGTGGCGGATTCGGAGGTGGATTTGGTGACCAGCAGCAGCAACAGCAGCAGGGAGGATTCGGAGGCGGATTCGGAGGTGGATTTGGGGACCAGCAGCAGCAACAGCAGCAGGGAGGATTCGGCGGCTGGTAAACAGCACATAAATTTCCTAAATACAAAATAAAAAACTCAAAACTAAAACAAAACTTGTTTAGCCCTAACTTGGGTTTTTTAAAGCACTCATCAGTCATTTTTTCTAGGATATAGGGTTTGAAACCTTAGATAAAACTCATAGATACAATTATCAAAATTCTCTTTCATTTATGGTTTATCGAAACAGGAAACAAAATAACCAACAAGTGAGCCAAATTATTGATGAACAACATTTTGCCAAAATGAGTTGGATTTAGATTTTAAATCTCTAAGGCTCGTGAGGAAATTGATAGATTTGGAGATCCGCAATCGGAAATATCTCCTCAAGTAATTTCCCGCAGCTGAGGCGCTGCATAAATCTTTGAGATGAAGATGATGGCGCTTTGGAAGAGAAGTGAACTAATTAAAACCATTTCGACTTAAGAGGAAGGGGAATCCTCGAAAGCTCACTTGCGGAAATAACAAGACAGCAGCGAATGGTTTGCGGTTTAATGCTTACGATTTGTTGCTTGTCCTGAAGTCTTTCCTACTGCTTCATTGCCACGACAAAATATTAAAATAAATTAATCTTTGTCTGGTTTAAGTGTGCTAGTATCGAGCCAGATAAATGATGTTGAAGTAAAATCTTTATATATACAAATGAGAAAGGGGGTGTCTTCTGTGTAGATAAAGAATTGTTAAGAATTTGTTATCTAAAAACGGCACTGTAATTTTTACAGCTACTGTTTTCTACTGTGTATAAAATTTTTATTTATAAATATGAATTAGGTTTACACAAAAATTTTGCTAGTGTTTTGCATTAAATCAGAAACAGAACCAAAAAAGAATTGCCATCAACAAGCTTTTAAAAAAACAACTAAAACTGTGCCGTTCGTTAAGGATTCTGCTAGTCAATGGCTTCCTCCTGCTGGTACTGGCCCCCCACACGTCGCTTACAACACACCCAATCCGCGGGCCTCGTCCCTTGTCCAGGGCCCACCTCTATGCAGCCAGCCTTTTGGGAAGCGCGCCAGGCCTTCGTCCATGGTAAGGACATCAACGACATGGCCTTGGAAAGACCGATACACTGCTCTTCCCGATGCCATCCACCGCCACCAGTTTCCCGCTGCGGCGGCTCCAGTTCCTCTCCGCTCAACATGGAGAGGATCAGTTGCTCGGTGAAAAGGGCGTGCGTCAAACGCCGGCGGCACGCCACCTCCGAATCCTGACAGAGTTGCTCTTGATGGGCAATCCATTTCAGTAGGTGAAACCGCTCGGGCTGATCGGTGGTGTCTACCGGTTCCAGGACGACTATCTGGCTGGTGGGATCCTCGACGGGGGCCTGCGAATCTGGCCCCGAGCGGGAAAGGCCGCTGCTCCTGGTCCGAGCCTCATCATCCGATATTTCGATGCTACTGGGTAGCAGAGGTTCGGGCGTCCAGGATTCTGCCGGTACCTCGTCCAACTGCATGAGAATGTCATAGCCCAAGACGGGAGGACTTCCTCTGGACTGTAGCCTTGGTGGCTGGGAAAGTCCCTGCTGTAGAGATTGTGGCTGGGGCTGCGGTAGATTTTCCAACTGGGACTGCTGCTGATGCGGATATTGCTGCTGTTGTTGCAACATCAGCTGACGCCGCCGACGGCTGCGCTGGGAACTTCTGGACAGAAAGCGGCGCAGCGGCGGGGTGTCCGGCTCCAGCATGTTGGCGTGCTCAATGTGGTTGAGCACCAGATGTCGCGATAGGTTGCGGATGGCCACCAGATCGATGGCCGGCAGACCCGCACACATGGGACAGACAACGTAGCCGTCGGCCAGGCGGTGCTGGCCCCACACGTGTTCGATCAGCTTCTTGGCCGTGTGCCCGAACAGTCCGCAGTAGGGACAGGTGTAGCAGTTGGACATATGCAGTTGTTCCAACAAGTCCGCCCCGCCCAGTAGCTGCTCCGCCTGGGGCTGCTGACCCGGCTCAAGGATCAGCTGCATCGGGTGTTCCACTCGGTGCTCCAGCGTCTCAACATGGCTATCGTAGCAATCGCCGCAGAGGTCAAAGTTGTGGCAGCGCATGCAGCGGAAGCGGCGACCTCGGAAGTCCCGTCGCTGGCAGCCATCGCAGCAGATGTTCCGATGACCCATCGGGGAGGCCGCAGACCGGATATCTCTTTCGAGTTCGTTTTCGCCTTCGGTGAACAAATCCTCGCCTTAGGCTAGCCTTTCTTTTCCTCTCCGTTCCTCGGGGAACCAAACACTGGTCGAAAAACTGGGCAATGGGGTTTTGAATTTCTATAAAATGGAATTGAACGAATGGCATTAATGATAGGCCGAGAAAGGCCTACAAGGATAGGGGGGTTTCCTTAATAAAGTATTAAATAATACTATAATCTACTCTTCAACGCGGTTTCTCAATGGGGACGTTCCATGTTGGACAGATATTTAGAAATGTCTGTGGAAATGCATGGATGTAAGGCTGTATGCTATTTTACTGGAAACTAGTGCCAGGAATCATATAGTCTACCTTTTCATAAGAATCTATATTCTACCGTTAATTAAATATAAAATTCTGATGCCTTCCAAAGAGGTGATGGCTTAAACTTCATTGTATCCTGCTTAAATTTGGCAAAAATTGTAATTACGATTGGAGTGAATTGTATAAATGGGCACCCAGTACCCAGACCCTCTCTCTAATGGGCTAAGCACATTTCGCTTGGATTGTGGCTGGAGCCGGTTGTTCCTTTTGTGGCACTCATTTTCCCCAGCAAGCTCTCTCTTTCTCCGGCCCGTTACACCCATCTCTTTCTATTGTTTTCATTTCCTCAGCTCGGTACGCGGCAATTGTAATGGAAGTCTTCCGGCTTCATGCACCTCCGTCGGACTCATCATGCCACCAGATAGGGTAAGACCAGGGCTCCTGGGTCTGCACTGGTGTTGGTAATTATTTTATGGAGTGTGGCAGACGAGGCGCCCTCTGTATGTGGGCGTGTGTGTGAGTTACAGTGCCTCCGATGGTCGGGGGGGCTGGGTGCGTGGCCAACTTATGTTTACCAAGTGCGAAAGTGGAAACGTGCTGCAAACATGAAGTCGTGCCACCACCCCAACCCTATCTGAAGCAGCGCCAACCCCGTCCATCCCGGTTACAGTTCCGCTCCACCATCCCTCGCTTCCCGGCGTGTTTTACGCTTTATAATAGGATTTGAATACAATGGCATTGTAATGAAATGTGCAGCAAACGATGGTCTAGAGAGTAGTCTGTAGCAAGTTGGGCTCTGTGGTTGCCTTTGGATTCCGGCAAGGTCCTGTAACAGCGACTGCCACTGCCACTGCAATTGCGATCCCTCCGGCACTGTTCGCTGTCCGTTGCCAAGAACAAGCCAAACAGCTGTTCTGCCTTTGTCTGTCTGCCCATGTGATTCGAGTTGGTAATTAAAAGTAAAGCAAAAGGCAACTTGCAGCAATGGCTAAAGCACATTAAGTTACCGTTTTACACGTATGTATGTTTCCAGCAGCCGTCTAAGTTCTACACATTGGTTTTTATTTGAGGAAAAGCGCTTAAAGGTGTCCTGGCCGTGTCGTTTAATTTTAAGTTCAACTGCTGCTTTCACATCCACTTCAAGTCTTAAACTGGGCCAGAATATATCAAAGCCATCTGCTTCTCATATCTCTTTCCTAAATCTTAAAAATAGATATAGCATAAAATATTTTTCTTCAAAACCTAGACATCATCAATCAAGGCCCGTCAACCTTTGTTGATTAGTTGATCAATTAAATGTAATTGAAATTTTATTCTCATTAGCCTGCTAAAGGGTGCGACCCATTTCAATTGGGCTAATTAATGGCAAGCGTGTCTCAGTAGCTGCCGTTGAAAATCTCACAGCCACAAGCGATTGTGTGGAATCGGGAATGGAAGACCCCTTGGCCTTCCTCGATCAAAATTAGAGGCCATTGCTCATTAACTTTGCAAGGGATACAAGGCCGGTTTCCTCTAATTGCGGCCCAGATTTTCACTTTGGAAAGTCTTCAATGAAAATTCTTCATTTTCTAGGAGCCCATTTTATTTATGTTAATTCTTTTTCCCCGGCTTTGCTTCATTTTTTTGTTCGTCCCTCATTGAGACGATATGCTCAATTGCTTTTGTAATCAATCAAAGTCAAAAGCGCAAAATGTTACTAACATCCACGTATTGGCGGGTGTTGTGGAAGTGGAACCGATTCCTGGACGGGCTGGGTGGGAAAAGTGCAGACAACCCACTCGTGGCGGAAACTGGATTGTCATGTGTGCTCGCGGCTCTGGATGCTTCATGCTTCATGCTCGATGTTCTGTGCTTTCTGCTTGGCGGTAGATGCTGGATGCTCTTTGCTTGTATTTTGTGTTGGTGTTTGACGTGACACTTGAGCGACACTTGAAGCCCGATAATTGATATTGTGAAGGATGAGGGTGATGGGGCTGGGGCTCCGGATTGGGAGGGCGTGGTCATGTGCCGGTGTGTGCAGGTTCAGCTCCTTGTAATTACCGCTGACACATCATGGCGGTTGAGCTGCGGTTAATGGTATCCATAAATCGAAAGGTAGTTCCATTAATCTTTATGTAACTCTTCCAAAAATAAACTTATAAGAAAACATACAATTAAATAACTATTCCTTTAGGCCATATCCGCGTAAATTGCGTTAAAAACCAAGTTTGTGTCGCTATTCTACCCCAAGGAACTTTGTGTTTTGTGAAATTGGCTTTCTACAGAAGCTTTCTTAAAACAAACTTGGTCTGTTGAATCTGGTCAATGTGCAAACTGCCGCACACTTAGTGCCAACTTCAGGCATTCGTGGCGACCGGGTCTCCCTCAGCCCCTCGACTGTCACCAGATAATTGTTAACCATTAAGTCGCACCGCAAATCAAGTGCAGCAATTGCAACTGGACTGCAATTCATTTGCGGCATGGATCATTAAAGGGCGCAGGGGCCGAGAACTTTGGACCAGAGACAAACCGCACGCAAAGTTAGCAACGTGGCCGAAACAGACGTAACCACCGGGACCAGACAGGGCCACAACAAGCCGGTCTGGAGTCAGGACGCCCCCGATGGCTGCCGATGGCTACCCCACCTCCAGGAAGTCCCCAAGCACCGAAAAAGCGCCAGCTGAAAGTTTTAGGGCATAAAGAGTTTTCAGCCAAGTGATGGATGGAGTGGATGAGCTGGAATGCTGATGGTACTGCGGGGGTTGCGGAATGGTTTCACGCTGCTTTCAGATCCATTAACCAACCATTCGATGCCAATCCGGAAATGATAATGAGGCATGTACGACGATGATGACGAAGCGTCGTATCCAACTTGTGAACTTTTGAACCGAGTACGGCGTGTCGCAACTATTTCGCGTTTTGAATATTAAATGTACCGAATTTGGATAACATTATCTGTCATTAGTGTCAAAAATTATGGCACTTCCATTGAAAACTAAAATCCTTTTAATGCCAGCGTCAACCCTTCTCGTCTCAGAGTGATAAGTCGATTCAGTTAATAATGTCAGGCGGAATGACATCTATTAGACGACTACGAGACAGTTTTTAGCCTGGCCGTCGCGTTGGCTTTGTCGCATTAATATTAATTTATCTGCATTTGTATGTTGAGAAAGTATATAGAATTCATTATTTATGAAATTTTATCATTTTTGGTAATTAAGCCCCGTTCGCGGGGTCTATGACATTTTAATTAAAGCCGTGCCACAAGCCGCAGACAAAGTGAGCCGCAACAAGGACAAAAAAGATAAAAGACCCAGTCTAATGCCTCTTGAAATTATTATCATCACACCCACAAAACCTAAAAAACCCAAAAAAAATATATAAGTCAAGAAAGCAAAAGTTTTGGCGACAATCCCGACGCACTTTTATGGTACGGCTTGTGGACTGCGAGTGAAAATGAAGATACGGGAATGTCACGACCCGGCCGCCTCATGATATCAGGGCCAGGAGACAAACTGGCTTAGAGATGGCACAAGTGCTACTATTCTAGGCTTTTTTATTAAAGATTTTTTAATGGAACTTACGATACAGACTCCTTACTTAAAAATTTAAACCCCTCTGCCCGAGATTCGAGTTCAATTTTATTGTGAAAATCATCAAGATTCAAGTGCCTTCTGCCGAAACCTCCCATGTAAATGGCACGAAGGACTGCATTTTTTTTACAACAGTTGCCATCTCTAAAGCAAATACAGTTTCGTGTGTGTCAGTGTGCTTTCCTGCTTAAAGTATGATTGCAAGTGTGAAAATATATATGCTAAACGTGCCCCAACCGCCAGACCGCCCCTCCGTTCCCGTTGCGCTTCATGCGTTTTTGTTTTATGACGCGGCGACGTGCTCGGAAAATGAAAAGCACTTGACGCGCCAAAGTGCTGAACTTGGCGGTCCTCCGTCCGCTGGTTCATCAGACCCCATGATTCCACCCATCTCCTACGGTCCACATATGCTAAATCGTAAAATGCTTCATTCTTTGCTTTTTTCTCTGAGTTTTTTCTTTAGTGTTAAAGTTTTTGTACTCTACAGAGAGGGTAGTCCTGAACAGCTTCTCAGCTTTAATTTAATAAATAAAATTTTTAAAATAATCTAAAATATTCTTTGGTTTATTTTAAATCTCTTGGAAGATATTTTGTTTTTATTTTTACCTCAAATGGGGAAAAATACTTCCAAACAGGGTACATCCCCAACATGGAGTAGCAAAAGAAATCCGTTTCCAGGGTTCACGTTGCCTTATTTTTTATGCGACGTGCGCTCGCCTGTAAATGGGTTTCCCCTTGGTTTCCCTCGCCGCAGTTTCATTCTCATTTGTTCGAACAATTTAAGAAATTGTCGCCCTGTCTTGGCAAAAAAACAAAAAAAAAACGAAAAAAATACGAAAAAAAACTATGCATGTGTAAAGTTTATAGTAAATAAAGTATGATTGTCTATTGTCGATGCTCGTTCTTTTTGTGGTTTATAAAAATTCAACACTCTATTTGGTGCCCTCGCTTCGAGTTAATTTCATTTGATTTATATGGATTGTGTCAATGGAAATGGGACGAGCGGGAAAAGGCAGATAAGCCGGGCTTGGAGCCGGGGTTAAACCTTGTTCTGTAATCGCTCTTGTTGATGATGTACACATTCTGATGTTGCATGTTGGATGCTGGTGGCTGGTGGCTGGTTGCTGGTTGCTGGATACTGGATGCTGTTGTGGTCAATAAATTACCAGCTGTGCAGAAAAGCATTGGGGGCTTTTGTTCTTTTTTACGCATTTGAAGTGCACTCAGCGCTTTTTGCCCGTACTCACGCCCACACTCGGACACAATTCGCAATTAATTAAAACAATTATGTAGGCAGCGACACAACAACAACAGGAACAGAAAAGACAAACATGGGAAGGCTCAAATGAAAGGGATTGTTTAAAAAATGAAAAGTTCCTACAACAAGGAAAACAAAAATTTTCTGCGGTGAAATGTCATGTCGGCTGTCAACCACACATTCCCAGTTGAAGTATTATACAATTATATAAGCGAGAGCCCGAGCTATACCACTTGCTGCTCAAATTACAAACCTTACACCTTGCTTCTTGAGTCAAAATTAAATCCAAAATGGAGATAATTAAGAAAACTTATTATCGAGCAGTTTTTGTAAAGTATGCAATTGTTCCTTCTCCTCATGACGGCATCTGTATCGCTAATGTTTATTCTTGAGAACGACGGAGTCCAATTGATGTCCTTGTTGAATGGCAGCTTCTTGGAGGACTATTATAAAAGGCGGAAAAATCAAGGTATGGTGTCTACAAAAAAGCCTCGCTCCGATTTTGAATCTTACGAGAGTGAGAAAAAAAGAATTGCAAGGCTTTGGGATCCTATACTCAATCAAAGCCACGATTTTCTGGATGTCAGAAAAGATAATAGCCAGGAGAAGGGTCAGGTCTCAGGATCAGGTGCAAATGAAATATTTTCAACGAATATTAGTAAAACTGAACCTTGCAAGGATAGTAACACTTTAAATCCCCCTGGAACTGGGTCACCCCCACCCAAAGGCTTACAGAAAAACAGGTTTGTACGACAGCGTCCAATAGGACAGCGTCCAATACTCCCCCTATCGGTTCAAATATTCTTCGACAGAAGACCGAAATATGGAGAAAAATACCCGTTAATTGTTGCCATGAAGAGTTTAGGGACAACCCCTTTCGTACTCAACATCACAGTAGATACATCTGATTATCTCATTGATGACAAGGTAATATATCCCAGCCAGAAATCTAAATGGTCATACACAAGCAACTTGAGAGAGCTCCTAAGCACAGTTGGAATTCCCGAAACAAATGTTGCCTTTAACCAGGCCTATTATTACCGATGTCATGCAACATTTTATAATACACGGCACAAATACGCCATCGTGAAGGTCTCAGATCTAGAAAACAGATTTGTCCTGCTGGCAGCGACGTATAGGAGAGCGTTCAGGGTTATTATTCCTTCAAGAAGTAGGGATAAGTTACCCGTATTGCTACTACCATTTTGCAAAGATCCGGAGCTGCCGGTTGCAGTTTCAGCCTGGACTCACCGTGTGTTCTATGCGATTATCATTAGGAAAGGTGTAAAGGCAAAGTACAAAACATTCAGTTGGGATTTTTATGATATGAACGAGGAATGTGAGTAGAAGATTCATTCAGCATTCAGACAAGTAGACTCCGAAGAAAACCAATTTATACCTAACACAGTTCTTATAGCTCATGCTGGGGACACTAAAACTCTGTACCTTAAATTGGTGCCTTACCAGGTCAGTTATTTGAACTATAATGTGATAGACCGTGTCTTCATGTTGCGGGCCAGCGGTGTCATCAACGGAGTCTTCACTGTAGCTCGTGTGAGTAACCAGCGTCAGTCAGACTGATATCTACAATCGTTTTCTTTGATTGCAGTGCTATGTGAAGTATATCCCTCCAGATATTGAAACGGAAATTTCTGGAGGCCAGCGACGGAATGTGGACGTCAGGGATTATGTACTAATAGACGGTTCATCGAGCAAGGACAGAGTCTTTCCTGTAGAAAGTCTGGCAACAAAGAATTTCCATTGGCAGTGTGAAAGCACGGACGATCCCAATAACAAATATTGCAAATATGATTTATCAACAAGTAAGATAGTTCTTTTAGCTTGACCTATCATAGTCTTAACAAAGATAGCGTCATTCAGATAGTTGCCAAGATGTAATAATAATTTAAAAACCTTTCTACCTCTAGAGCCCAAGATACGATTCCCGAAAAGAAGCCTCCGAGTTGGTAAGAAGTACTCCATTGCCCTGACCGTTTACTCCAAAATAGACCCCAGACATCGATCGAGCGCCATCCAGATTATAAAGGGCGTGGAGAGGGACACCATTGCGCCCAACATCGTCTGCCGACGCAACTGTGCCCTGGACGTGTATAGCACGGCGGAAAGTGTCCATTTGACCTCCGATTGCCCCGATTGTCGCCATCGGGTGCGCTATTACGAGTGGCTCGTCAGCGAGGAAGGCGGCCAAATCCAATCTGTATCTCGAAAGAAGTTTCTCGTCTGGAGGGGCACCAGTGCATACATCGACATCTACTTGAAGATGATTATGGTGAACAATGTTCAGGGTATTTCCAAGTACTCGATGTCCCGGAACGATGGTCCTCAAGAGGGCAAGTGTACAGCATGGCCCGATAGCGGCATCGAGGCTACTACCGTTTTTTCCATCACTTGCGTGGGCTACGAGTCGCCCTTTGTTCCGCTGACCTTCCGCTTCAAGCTCGGAGTGGCGGCGGTGGCCACTTTGATTCCGTTCAGCAAGATCAAAATGGTGTTGCCGACGACCAACTCTCTAGAAGTCTCCATCTGCGACACTGTGGACACGTGCGTGTGGCAGAAATTGTCCCTGACGGTGACACCATTTGTGTTGGCGAATCCCGATGCTACCCAGGAGAACCATATCAGGGAGGTGATGGCAGAGGTACCAGATCTCCTGCTGCATGGCCACTGGAACAAAGCCTTTGTTCTCTCATTGGTGGCCACGAAATGGATCGCATCTCCCGAAGACGGTATGCTGATCTTCTCGCATTTGCAAGATCAGGATTTGCAAACTGGTGGCCAGCTGGAGCAGATGACACTGCTGGGCCTCCAAATGTTGTCGCGATTGCTCCCGCTAACTTTCCGATCAGCGAGGCTCTTGGGCGATATGTTCATCAAACAGACCACCATTTTCGAGCACACCGTCCAAGAACAGGGCTGGTTGCATCGGGACGCCTACCACAGTCTGACTGCCATGCTCATGGCCTTTATGTCCATCTTAGGAGACAAGAAGCATGTGGAGGGTCTTGCGATGGGCATGTGCAAGCCCACCAGTCCTGAGTGCGTCAATATGGTGATGCTGGAGAACCTGGAGCTCCAACTAGAGATAAAATTCGATCCTCTGATTCTGCTGAAAGTCAATTACTGGATGCGGTGCACCTGGTTCCTCTACAAGTGTACCTACTACATGGGCATGCTGGCTACCAAACGCCATCACCCCTATGACGAAGCCTTTGCGGTCCTAGAGGGCGGCATTGCCTACCAGGTGAATGTGACTGAGGTGACGGAGGAAACGGAGAACATCACCATCAACACTATTGACATGATCCACGCGGTGCATCTGTCCGCCCCCCTGCTATTTGAGCTCAGCAAGATGTTCAATCATACCACTATTCTATTTCAGCTCATCTCCCAGCAGAACTTCCACAACATCTTTTGGTGGTTTCCGGATCCGCTGCCCTCAAAAACCAGTGTGTTGATAATCCACGCCCATAGTCCCGGCGAAGTAAAGTACACTACCGGTATATTTTCCATAAAAAATCGGTTGATGTTCAGGACGAACATCAGCGAGTTTAACGATGATCCTGTTTTCAATCAGTGGATGGCCAATGGCACCATCGAAAAGTACTCGGAGATCCATTTGTACAGCCTGATGCTCAGCAACAAGGCCATGCTGGCTGTGCGGATAGTGTCCTGTTCGGAGCCCATGAGAGTTAAAATGCGGATGCACCGACAACCCTCAGCCCTGGAGATGAAGAAGGCCTGCTTTATAACGCCCAATATGGGTGGGAAGCGGATCTGGATGTCCAACAACTGCCCACGCAGCCTGGCATTCGTGGCAGTTCAGAGGACTACGCCTGACCGTTCATTTCGGAGTGGAAAGAAAACAAAGATGTTGCGGGATGATTCCGACTGGGATGCGCCGCTAAACTACACAATCTTGCTAGAGATATACCAGTGCAACGTGTGGCAGAACCGGACCCTGGATCCTGGCTGGGATGCCGAAAACTGCATCACATCCTTCGAGAACAGCTATGGCACGTCGGTCCAGTGCAGCTGCAGTATCCTTGGGGCCTTAGCGTCTCGGATTGTGCCCATTGCAGCGGAACGGCATGTGGAGTACTTTCGAGATGAGGCTATGACCTTCAAAATTCTACTACCCCTTTTTTTCCTACTGCTCCTGTTATTGCTACTCGTCCTGATGGTCCTTAGCTTCGGGAGTCTCTCGGCCCATCAAAGGCGCGAGAACTTCCTGCGGTGCGAAGGGAGCAAAGCAGAAGGTCTGGGACGCTTGTTTAACAACGAGAACGAGATACTCCTGATAGTTGTGACCGGCGGCCGGGAGTTCGCCGGGACCACCTCTAACATTAAGTTCTATTTCAAGTCGCCCCACCGGCCTCAGACCTCGTTTAATGTAACGCAGGACTGCGCGCATCCCAAGTTGCTAACGAACAGCACCAACAAGCTGCTGGTCCCGCGAGGATCGATCTTCATACCCACCCGCCTGGCTCTGGGTGTCATGAGGAACGGCCGGTTTCCGTCGTGGTACTGCCGCACCGTTACCGTTGTGGACCTGAAGCTGAGGGCGCAGCAGCTGTTTGTGGTTGAGCAATGGATCCATTCGGGTCACACCAAGTTTATGCGCTCCAAGTATTTCACGTTCGGCCCTCAGAAAAGGGACTATCAATACACGTGTGCCACGCGCTTTCGTAACCGGCTGGAGCAGCTCTTCATCAGCTGGTTCATGGCCAATCCCATCACCGGACCCTGGCAAAGCAGCGTTGGCAATGTCACGATGAATCGCTTCGAGCGATCCTGCGCCTGGATCTCCAAGCTGGCGATCTCGCTCACCGTGATCAGTATATATCTTCCCCTGAAAAGAGAGGAAGCCGAGGAAAAAAATCATGGGCTTCACCACAAAGAACATATACAAATAGATGAGGTGGTGATGCTGGCGCTTGTGATCTTTTTAATTTGTTGTGTGGTTCAAATATGTTTCGAACTGCTTATAACACGTGTTTTTTTCTTGGAATAAAAAATCATAGAACTTTAATGGATGATATACAAGCGAAATAGCTATATCCGGTGTTTGGAAAATTGGCTTTAACTTCTTAATTTTCCTCTTTATTTTTAGAATATAATTGGAGGAAAACCACTGTCTGTTTTGGGTCCTGTTTTCAACCTAGCCAGGGCTAATGGATTTTTCCACGCCTAATTACCATTACTTACCTAAGTGGAGAACAAAAAACGTAGACACCCTGGAAAAAAATGTAAAATTGCATTAAAATTATCGTCGTTTTTTTTAGAAACTGTCCTCTTGGTATTTTATTTTTTCGGGACTTGAATGTGTATGCAAATGGAATTTCATAGTCACCATTAACACCTTTTTGCCCCGTCGCTCCTTCACACCTGTTTCTTGTGGTGACTTCTTTTTTTTTTTGTCCGCATATTTTATGTCACGTTGGGTGAGAATTTTAAAAAATAAAAATGCATTTAATTAAATGCCACACAAATGCTGCGAAAAACGTTTTCAACGTGTGATATTTTATGCCAGAAGTCGGGATATTTTTCTTTGCTTCTGTTGTTCTCGTTTCTCATTGTCACGGGGCAGCCGAAAATGCATTTTCATAACTTTACTGGCCATTATAAATGTGTTACGTTGAGGTGGTTCTACTTCTACTAAAAAAAGTAAAAGGTACCAAAGAATACCTGTCTAAGTACACTGTCTAAAAAGCTTTTCAAAGTGGATTGAATATCAATGTTACCAGTGAAATGGTTGAAAAAAAGGGCTGCTGCAATTCCATTGCATTTCCATGAACCATTCCTGTATTCAGCCTTGAGGAGCTAACGAACATCCTGCCCCTCTCGGCATTTTTGGCAACGGCTCAATCTGCAACCAGTTCCGATTTTTGCTTACTTTGTAGTTAGGCATAGATTTGGAGCTTTCCCCAGAGACTTTTTTTGCTGGAGTGTCGCACGGAGGATGCAACGGAAATTGTACTGAGGGCACGGCCATTATTCTCCGCACTCTGCCGGGAAACCAAGGAGGCGACACACGCATCACAATTCTGAAATATTGTAGTTGTCCGGGCCACAATGTCTGGATAAGTACCCTGTAGTAATGGGTAGCTGATGGGTGATCTACAAATGAATAAAAATTTGTAATAAACTATGCTTATTAAGAAGAGAAAGTATATTTAAAATCATAAACCTTAAAAAAGTATTTGCAAATCACTTGTATCATTGAGATCTTCTTGAAACCATTTTTCAACAAAAAAATCTATACAGTTTATCAAGAGTTAAGGGGTATCTTTTGAAACTCTGCTATTCGATTAAAGTTCCTCTCTATTTTTTTGTGGGTCTTGTAGTTTTTCTAGCTGTAGCTGAGAAAATTGCAGCCGACAGTTTGGCACATTCCCATTTCGGGGCCTTGGCATAACAACGCCCACTTTTTGGCCACTGTTTGCATACGTGCCCGTTGTGAAATTGCCTGGGCGCACTCCTCAAATCATTGGCCGCTTCCACGGCCCTACGCCCCTCCGCCCTGTGCCAGCGCCCTCTAGCCCACCTCAAGCCGCCCCCACCCCTTCAAGTGGTGGCGCAACATGTTAGTGACACAATCGAAATGGAAAACGACATGGAACATGGCAACAATAACGAGCTGCAATAACAAATAACTTCGAATTTTGGCTCGGATATAAGACAGGTAAGAATACCGGGCGGAAATTGAAGTGTGAAGTGTGTGAGTGGATTAGTTATCCTGAGAATTGTTACTCTTTGGCAAATTTCCTTCTGATTTGTGGCACTCACTCACCGTCGGATTATGCCACATAGTTCGGGAGCGAAGCAAAAAGATTTGCCCTCAAGAAAACACCAAATACGAAAAAAAAGTGAAAATCCACCTAAAGTTTGCCATCTTTGGTGGATACTCCAACAGCTACTCCTCTCTGTGTATATATCCCGGTTTCAGATTTGACAGAACTCCTCCTCCAACTCTATATCTACTCCGGATCCCCGTGGGTTGTTTACATTGCAACAACGCGACACTGCGGTGGCACATAGGCAAATGCAATTGCGGATGAAACTTAAGTCCACCGGGGTACATGTTCAGGTTGAGTGACTGTCAGGTGAGCTTCATTTTAGGGAAGTTAAAGGAGTTTTATATAAGATCTATATGAAATAAGATCTAGTTTAATTATATCTTTTAACAATCTACTTTTTTTTTATCTATAAAGTATGTAGAAACCTCACAGCCTAAGCTCTTTGGTAAACTTTCCTAATCGAAGTCATATAACCGATATTTTTCATTACAGTGAACTGAACTGAACTCGCCTGCTCATGTGGAACGTCGTCGGAATCGTCGTCTGTGGTATTCCCAGTTTTCCCAACTTCCTGTTCCCGGTTCCCTGAGCGCCTAGACTCGCTACGGCGCATTGCACATACGCCGTGTGGTGCAGCTGGGCTTCGTTCACGTTATTTTGCCTATGAAATTTGCAAGAATTTGTTATGTCAATTGGGAACCACTACCGCTTTAGCTTACTTTTAGCAAACCTGTCGTCTGACTTGGCTTGTCTGGCGTGCAAATATTTCGTTGCTGCGTTAAATTTTGCTTAACAAATTGGCCCTTTTACTGGCTGGAAGGCGACAGCAGTGTAGCACTTTAAGTTGAAGACGGAGAAGTCGTTTCCAACGAACATTTTCGCGAATATGTAGCTGTAGCTGGAGCTGAAAGCAAACCATCAAGTCTGCATTACATGGGGCGTATGCGTAATTTCGGATGCAGTAAAAATCCAGCTGCAGATGTTTCGAAGCACGAAATTAATTACGGAAAATAAGTACACAGATACGAAGGCACTGGGACGGACGGACGCACAATAAGGAAAAAGACCAACAGCAAGCAGCGCCAGAATAATAATAATAAGTAACAAAAATAAACTTTACACGCTCAAGACAAGGAAGAACAGAAGCCGCGCCGAAGGAGACGCCATTGTGGCAGTAGCAGTAGCAGGAGCAGCAGCGGCTATAAACAAGCATATGCTAAGGCAAAAGGCATAAAAATAAATCCAAAGAAAGGAAAACTTTTTGATATTATCTGACTACGCCCCAGTCATGTGTGCTGGTATGGGTTTTCGTTTGTGTTTCCTCGCATCCGATGTCTGGGAATTCGTCACTTAGCTTGGCCATGTATCACAAAGTCAGCACAGAAAAAAAAATATAAATATTTTCGCAACCTTTCTGGAATTTCAATCTTATTATGGTTTATTGTTATGCCGTCCATCTTGACCTGTATTTTTCCCAGCGTCTTGCCTCGCACTCATTTCACTAGCATCGACGTCTCCTTTTCCAGGCCACAAGGAGAGTCCTTGCTGGGGGCTTAAACATGAAATAAAGGCAGCAATTAGTGCTAAATAAAGAAATCATAAAGTGTAAATAATATTTCTGAAGCGCAAATGAAAAGCAAGCAGGAAAGCCACAAGAAGGAACAACAAGTCCGGCCCGAAGAGGCATGCATATTATTTACGGCTGTCATTGTTTTGGCATTTAAAGAGAAAACTCCTTATCCGACAGCCAGCAATCATTCTGAACTGCCCCTTCAAAGGATATTAATTGTTACACAAAAGGACTTCAAATAGATTGCAAGCACTTGTCCAAACACATATCCTGACAAATTGTGACAAGGATGATATGGATGCAGCTTTTGTCAAAAATGCCAATTAAAGCAGATGGCAGAATATTTTGGCACCAAAGGATGTCTGTTTCTGAGAAATTTAAGAAACGAAATATCCTAACCGATTTTCTTTGTTCGGCACGTCTTCCTCTACTGAACCAAAAATATATCTCTCACAACAAATGCATTTCCTCATGCCAAATCTAATGAATTTATGGCTCCAATTCACAGAAACTCAATAAAATATGACTGTTAACTCGGAATGCTCCCTCCGTTCAGATTGCATGCATAAAACCATCAGGAAAACCACCGAAAAATCATTCTGTGTAGGTATTTTTGTACGTATTTGAATTCGTATGCCGGGGCACAAGGCAGGAGTTTGTCTCCTGACTTTACTTCGAGTGCACCGGGAACGAGGACAATTCCTGGCGGGAATCACGTAACGCATTGTTAAAATATAATAAAATTGCAATTTTGCGTTCATGTTGCAATGTGGCGTCATATCCTTTTTCCTTTAATTTTTCACGAATTCGCCATTTCGTAGTTCCGAAAAACTGAAACTATCCACCACTCCAACCCAGCCCCGTCCTCATCGTCCCTCGGCCCAGAAGCGGAACATTCTCCGCTTTCTATGCACACTCCATAGATTTTAATGCAATTTTCTCGATGGCGGAGGAGGATGCAGTCGCCACCACCCATAGAATATATAGCTATCCTTGTGTGTATATATATTTTTATTTTGCCGCTGTCATTGTCGCAGCTGCCAAAGTCTTTGTGCTTCTGGTCGACGAGAGCTCGAGTGGAGTGGAGTGAAGTGGTGTCGCGTCCAAGTTTGGATCTCCGCGCTCGGATCCGGGTACTGGAAGCCAAGAGTCCAAGTCCGAGGCCGGGTTCATCCCTTTTTTTGGCCACAATTTAGTGCCCAGTGATGATCAGAATAATAAAACATGAGGATTTGGGGATTACTTTTGTAATGCTTTTAGTAATACTACTTTAAAATATTACCATATTATAGAAATTAGTGTCTAAAGTAATTAATTTTCTTAAGAATTTTTAAAAACTATTTTCGACAACACTGTTAAAGCCCGTTCTTGTTACCGAATCCCTTCGTACGGTTCGGTTCTGTTCTGTTTTGGCTGTTTGGACAACGTATCCGCTCGTTGGTTTCTCTCCGGCTTTTGGCCATATTTCTGCACTCAATTGTCCTTCAGTGCATTTTGCGGTTGTCTCTATTCTACTTTCTGCATTGTGTTTGTCATCTCTCCCTCTTAGCCGGAGCAGTAAAGCATAATGCCTTTGTTTGTTCGCGCAATAAAAAATGATTACTTTAATTTCCGTGCCATATAAAAAGGCACGTCTAACATGAGAAATCGCCGTCATTGCCGGTTTTGTCTTCTCTTTCCATCTAAACTGGCTCCACTGACCATAGACCTCCAATGGGAAATGCATTAGGACCTGTGCCAGTGGGTCATGAATGGGTTATGACGGTATAATCACACGGAATACACTCCTGTTTGCATTTTGTTGTTAAATCTCCAATAAGGAAATTAAATCAGTTTCAAGGAATTTAAAGAAAAAATATCGTAGCTGTCTTCAGTTAGCCACAGTTGTTGTGAGCCATTTATTTTCGTTTTAGGAATCGTAGCTCAGCTAATGCAAAAATATGCCTGCCAAGCCGGTGATTCTTTTGGGCCTGGGTCTGGGCCTGGAAGCACTCCTTTTGGCTTTTTACCCGTTTTTTGTGTTTTTCTCCTCGGTGCTTTTTTGTTATCTTGGCCCCTTTTTTGTTCACTCTGTTTTGTGTCAAACCGCACTGGGCCACAAAACAGAAGTCAGAGCCATGTCCCTGCTCCTTGGGGTCCTTGGGTCGCCAACGCGCTGAGCTGCTAAGCGAAAACTTTATGCACCAAATTGTTTTCACCTGCTGTCCCAAATTTATAACACCTCCCTTTCAATGGGCCCCTCTGTTTTTGCACCCCCCGGCCGCCTTTTTTTATACCCTTGCAGAGGGTATTATAATTTTGTCCAAAAGTGTGCAACGCAGTGAAGGAGACATCTCCGACCCTATAAAGTATATATATTCTTGATCAGGATCACCTCCTGAGTTGATATGAGCATGTCCGTCTGTCCGTCTGTCCGTCTGTCCGTCTGTCTGTTTCTACGCAAACTAGTCTCTCAGTTTTAAAGCTATCGACTTGAAACTTTGCACACACCCTTCTTTCCTTTGCACGCAGTATATAAGTCGGAACGGCCCGGATCGGCCGACTATATCCTATAGCTGCCATATAACTGATAGATCGGAAATGGTATAACTTTGGTGTTTTTAGAGTTAGAGAGCTAAAAATTGACATGAGAGCTATTTTTGGCAAAATAATATGACATGCCAAATTTCATATGGATCGGCCGACTATATCTTATAGCTGCCATATAACTGAACGATCGGAAATGACCCAACTTTCGTGTTTTTGAAGATAGAAAGCTAGAACTTGGTACACATTCTATTTTTGGTCAGTTAATCCGACCTACAAAATTTCATTAGGATCGGCCGACTATATCCTATAGCTGCCATATAACTGAACGATCGGAAATGGTATTTGGTAGAAATATCAACTTTTGTATTTTTGAAGATAGAAGCTTGGGACTTTTTTTCGATTTTTTATTGTAATTGATTGGTTTTATTATGATGTAATCATAAGGTTGGCCAACTATATCCGATGTTTGCAATATATATCCGGTTTTAGCTGCAAGGGTATATCAACTTCGGCTCCGCCCGAAGTTAGCTTTGCTTTCTTGTTTTTATTTTTATTTGTATAATCCTTTCGGTTATGGGCCCGGACCCCGTCGCACCCGCACCCGCACCCCCATCCCGGTTGGCGTCGAGTAACTTTCGGGGCTGACAGAAACCGGCATTGGAATTTGCGAGCCGGCGCACGGATTAAGTGAAAGACAAAAACCGGAGGGCGACTCCGAATGCGGATTCCATTCCGGCAATGCCTGGCCAAAATCGCCGGCACAGTGGGCCCGATACTTGGAGTACCTTGGATCTGCCTTGAAGCTGGTCGCTCTTCATTTTATTACCGCGAATCTTACTTTGCATAATGTTGTTAAGCAATTTTTACGAGGCCTTACCGACGGTCACTCATAATGGCTGCCACACTTGTTGTGTCCGCAGGCTACTCGGCGAAAATGGAAGTTTCCTCCGGAATGATGAGTACCAAAGGTTGGAGGGGGGATGGCAGGACAGCCGACCACTTTTGAATGACCCTCATTAAACGACCAGAAATTATATTAAATTTGGCAAGAACAAAACTCCCACACGCACACCCAAAAAGGCCAGGCAGCTGCATAAAAAAGTTGTAAATATTTTTATGCCTGCATTAATATGCAACGCCAACCACTGTAGGGCCTGTCATGAGGGGATAAGGGTGGTGGCTTGCTGTCGCTGCTAATACCACCGCTAATAAAATCTTACTGCCGCAGTAGCATCAGCATCAGCATTGCCGGCTCCTGCCCCTGCCCCGGCTCCTAGGGGCTATCCTATCCTGCCCCTTTCCTTGCGGCTCCTTCAGATTCGAATCCATGGCTGCTCCTCCAGAGCCATGAAGCACAGCTGTGTGCAGTCATTTTTACTGCTGCATCGCCTAGGAAGCGACTGTAGTCGTTGGTAGGGCGGTGGGGCGGTGAGGCGGTAGAGCTGATAGAGGCCCTCTGCTTCCGGGGGCGGGACCTTAATTGGGCGTGGTCAGATCTAGTTGAAGCCAAAAGGCCAAAGTGTGTAAGTGCCTAAACTTTGTTATTACATTACCGCCAGCCACTAGTTCAGCACAATGATATTTAATCGGAAATGAAGTGAGCGGTTACTCACTGAACTTATTCCAATTAAGTTTTTGGTTTTATAAGTCCATAATTTATGTGGTAATATTTTAATAAAGGTTTACTGAACAGCCAAGGTTGGTAATTCGCTATCTTTAATTGCCTTACTGCTAAAGTGGATCTTTAAAAATTATTATATCTCTTTGTATCTCAAGATACATCTGCCACTTACATCCTTTCTTCCATCTGAAATCTAAATACAAGTGATGCCTTTGCTGGCTAAGACACACCGAGTTTTTCTCCAGCCATATAAATATGGGAAAACAACGTTTACAGATTGCAAACATTATAATATTCCCACACAGCTCCCTCTGACAGCTCAAGAGTCGGTGTCCGTAGTGCTGTCTATCTGACGGAACATATACGTAACATTGCAGCTCTCCCGCATCACTCGCATCATGCTCTTGCTTTGTGTTTGGGCTGCCTGTCTAACTGTCAGTTCAGTTGGCTTTTGTTGGTAATTATTCAGATTTTGTTTGCATTTCATGCATAAATAAATCACCGAAAATTGCGACTCAAAACTATAAATGCCAAGTCATACATCTGTCACGATTTCGAGGAAGTGGCAGGCGGCTGGGAGGACGCGGATGTTGGATAATATTCTCGGACAGGCACTAAAATGCAGCTGCCTCTCATTAGTTTCTCCGGCACTCAACCAGTCTAATTTAATCAAGTTGAATGGTAAAAGAAATTACATTTTCTTTTTATATTTTCTTTTTTTTCGGTAGGTAGGTAGGTGCCCAAAATATGCAGCCCAAAAAAGGGGGGAATGGGAAATTACCATGGCTAACAACATTTGGTGCCGCGCGTCCTTTATGTAAATTGCGGCCAAATTAGTGAGTCAGGGAAAAAGAAATCCCAGTACAAGTAAAGAAAAACAGACACTCGGAGCGTACTTAGGCAGCTTTGTGTGGGGGGGATATACTTGGCTGGGAATCACTTAACCCCGGGGCAGGTGAATGTCCATAAAGATCCATTAGATGCTCAAGGTAAATGGTTAAGCGACAACATCAGTGGCGCCATCATATTTTAATTTGCATTCAAATTAAATGGCACATCAACGAAATAAAGGTATTGGCAGCGCTTTCTTGATGCCATTGGCCAAATAAATTAAAACAGGGTAACCATAATACTCAAAGAATAGTTTCGTAAAAGCCATTTAAAATTGAAGTTTCAATAAATCCTTTTCAGACAAACATTGGTTAATGAGTGGATACATATGCCTCGATAAACTTGATGATTTGATTAAAAATCCCCACAAAATTGTGCCCATCCCCACTTAACCCGAAAGCCTTTAAGGCCTGCCATTTAATTCCCTAATCCATAAGATCCTTTTCCTCCGCAGGCGTTTCAGATGTGGCTCCCAAAACCTCTACGCTTTTAGCCAACTCCGAAATAATCCCCCAGCGCACTTTTCTTACGACCCAATCCGACTGTCATCAACGACGTCAAAAGCGCTGCCCGCTGAGCCAACAATTAACAATTAAAACCCCAAAGCGCACAACTCAATTTTGCAATACACACAGCGGAGCCGGAGCCGGATCCGGAGCCTCTGAGACGAGCACTGCAATGGCAATTTCATATATAGGAGTATTCCGCAGATAGCTGGGGAATGATAAGGGTAACCCGCAACAACAATAACCAGTCGCCAATGGACACTTTCGGGGCCGAAGGGGTAAATCCAAAAACCCAGGACCCCGAACTAAGGACTCTGGACTCAGTGCCCAGGACTGCGAATTCAGAGCCATGGCCAAGTTCTCTCGGTGTGCTCGTCGCACTTACAACTAAAAACTTGTTACGTATTTAATTGCAATTAAAAAGTTGTTTTGTAGTTACGAGTGTTGTTGTTACTGCTGCTGGTGTTGTTCACATTCTTGGTGGGTTGTTGTTATATCAGACAGCCCAGCGAACACGATGGCTTCGAAACTGTCTCCAATAACAAAACCAGAGCCCAAAACCCAAACCGAAACCCCAAACGAAAGACTCCAAGCGAGAGGATGCGATGGGAAGATGAAGTCATTACAAGGCGAAATGAAAATGCGTAGAAAAGAAGCCAAAAGGGTTTTCCGCTTAATGACTTTGATGGTGTTTCGGTGCTTTTGGATAAAGGAGCCCCAAAAATCCCAGCATCCACCACCATCCCAACCTCTGATTTTAACGATAGCACTCATTAGACTTTTGCGATTTTTGGCTTAAAACTTTGGCCATAACAATTGGCGATGGCCATCATCGCGATTTTGACACAAAACCATTGGGGTTATTCACATCCAAAACAACAGGATTCTGTCCTTTGGCGTCATAAATGAAGAGATTTTCTTGGTTGTGGAAAGCGGTGATCCGCCATAATGATTTAATTCTAATTACTCTAGACAACATTAGAGAATGGTTGATATTTTATTTTTTTAGTTGATAACAGATTTCTTAGGACTACTCAGACTCTGGCTTTTTTTTTGGCTCTTTACTTTCTAGCCGAAGAAATTAAACAGGTTCTCCTGCTGCTGCTGCTGCTGCTGGCCACCGCCTCCGCCCTGCTGCTGTTGCTGCTGCTCCTGGAAGAACTCAACACCGCCGCCAAAAGGACCTCTGAAAATGACGCCCTCTTCCTGCTGCTGCTGCTGTTGGCCCCCAAAACCGCCCTGTTGTTGCTGCTGCTGTTGCTGGCCCTCGAATCGCTCAATGTCCCTGATTAATCCGCCGAAAGGTCCGAACTGAGCTGATGCCATGGCCAGAATGCCCATAATAACTATCAACTAATTAGAAAATATTTAAAAAAATGAACATTAATTTCAATAGAATCTGAAAATATTAATTATTGTACCCACCAAGAATTTCATTTTATTAACTGAGTATTTTTGCTTGCCACAAACTTATTTGGCTGAAACGCTCGACACAACTGCTTCTTTTTTGACCATTGGCTGCGAGTATTTATCTGATTTTTGTTTGGCTTATAGCCCCTCGAAAACTGGTTGGACACGGGCCGCGCTTAGCTTGGACTCCCCTTTGTGTCGATCATAGATATTTGTTTTCAGCGGGGCTTTTTTTCGGTTTCGGGTTGATAACAACTCAAGTATGGCCGTCAACCTTTCAGAGATTCAAAGTGACAAGCCCACTAAAAATACTGGTTTTTCCACCAAAATCTCTCTCCCTCTGCCTTATGTTCTCCGCTAATTAAATTACTGGATTAATTAACGTTAGATTATTCCAAAGATTCGCCAAACTTCATGAGTCATTGGATTTTTCCCACCAGTAAGTAGTAAGCATTTTTGCAATTATTCCCGGGTCCATTATCAAATCTATTTTGGTAATTGTTGAAAACTTCCGCATTAGTGACGCAAAGGTTGTTATTCCCTCTGCGATTCTATTTGTTATGCAAAAAAAAATTTCTTTTGATTTTTTGAACGTGTTACAAAATTAGAAACCAGTTTTAAACGTTAGCAAAAATAAAATATGCAATTAAAATGATTTTTGTGGTGAAATAATTTTTGATTTCATAATTTTATGACAAAAGGAGGAAAAAATGGTTTTCAAAATTTGAATATGAGGTTGTTAAACCATATATCATACCAGATCTTTTTGTTAATTATCGTTGAATGAATTAATTCATTAATCTTTTAGAACATTCTCAAACATTTCGGTGCCAAAGTATTTTTCCTTTGCTTCCAGTTATCTCCTTAGGTATTAAAAATACGGGGCATTAAGTTTTGTTTTTGTTAATTTAATTTACTATTTTTTTTTATCTAGTTTTGTACACTTCATAATTAAGTTTTAAATTCTTAGAAGAATCCTCCCTGCTGCTGTTGCTGCTGTTCGAAACCACCTCCAAATCCTCCGAAACCACCTCCGAAGCTTTCCTGCTGCTGCTGCTGACCGCCAAATCCTCCGAAACCTCCAAAGCCTTCTTGTTGCTGCTGTTGTCCGCCAAATCCACCTCCAAATCCACCAAATCCGAACTGGGGCAGGGCCGAGGCAAAGGCAAACAGGGCCACGAAAACGATCACCTGAAGCAAATATCGTCCTTAGCACATGAAAGGATCAACGCGGGATGCCTAACTTACCAGGAATTTCATTTTGTTTGAAAATAAACTTGAATCAACGGAGTGCAGATGCAATAGATGAGTTAGCTTTGAAGCTGAATTTGATACTGAACCCTTTGTTGGCAAGTCTTTCTCTATTTATACAAACTGATCGACCATCAATGGGTTCAAGTTTGGGAGGTTCTTTACCCGCAGAGGAAACAACTTGTCACCCAGACACCGGTCCAGACATCTGGGCTTCCCTGAGCGCTGCTGACCAAACGTTTCTCTTTCAATCCGGTTTTCAGTTTGTTTTGATGATAATATGGACTTTGTTTTCTTTTTTTCTTGCTCGGTGAGCAGGCGCCAGGTGCGTGTCCAGCATCTTGAATTTTAAAATTTCGATCATTTATGTTAAAATATGGGTTTTTCGCATTAATTAAGCTAGCTAGTTGGCTTGTGGGGGCACGTTTCAATTCTTCTTGATTCTAGTTAACCCCCTATTCTAGAGATTCTATAGAAACCATAATATTTTATATATTTTCGTAATAATTCCCAAATACAAATTTGAATTTTGTAAACAAACTTCCTTATACTCGATTGGACTAGCCTTCAGTTCAAGTCACATGCAAATGAATTCCGAGGAAAAAAAATATGTTTTCAATTCGCTTACATTTGGCGGAGTTAAATAAATTCCATTGGCATAATCAAAAGAAACTTTTCGTTTTGTTATTTCGTTTGCGTTGATTTCAAGAGTTGTCCACCATTTGACACGGCAGAGCAAGAGGAGCTCACTCAATAGATAAGTGCTTCGGAGGGGAATCACCTGCAGCGCTCGCCGGCGAGTGGGGAACGCTTTGGGGGACTCGGGTTTTGTATTTTTTGTGTGGCACTTGCAACCCTCCGCTCGAAGCTCGAGGAGGACGAGGTGAAATTGCATTTGGAGTGCGACGCCCACGGCAATCGAGTTTGGCAATACGTGTTGGCTTTAACTTGGCTTTTAGCCCTGACAGCGCAGAAGGGGCGAGATGTCTTTCGTGGAGCATACGCCAGTGGAGCGCATAAAGCCCTAAATGAATTTATTTGGCTCATTTAGTTGCAGCTAATTTATTTTTATTTTTATTGAATTTGTTGCTAGTCGGGCGGGATAACCGAGATGTTTAGTGGGGGACTTACAGCTTTATCCGGTTCAAGTTTTTGTTTGAGCAAGACACCCTCTTCTGGAAATAATCCACTACTTGAAGCCTAATCATAGACAAGTTCTCTCTGGAAACGTGCTGTAATTTTGGTAAAATGTCTAATGAAACCCTAAGGTTTTGAAAATTGTAGGGCTGTGGAAAGGCAACGCTTTGGGGCCAACGTCTTCGTCGCGTGTCAAAGTTGCAACATTCAACGCTCTTTGACTCCTTTGATGGTGGCCCAACACGACACCCAGCGCCATGCATCCAAATTTGTTCAAATTCATTTCAATTACCGTCAATTTTCAATAATTTTGTTCAAATTATATTTCATTAGGTTCAAAGGCCAAAAAACACTTTACATAAACATAATTAGCCTTGCGTGGCATGGAATTTGGGCATGGAATTTGTCCCGCCCTTAAGAAAATAAAGGAAACATTGTGCCTCAGTTAGGAAAGTGAACTATGCTCAAAATTAAACTCCAATAAAATAAAAGGAAACTGGCTTGTAAATATTTATAATTGCAATCCAATTAAATAGTATTACTTTTTCTGCCCCACGAATCTTAAATCAAGCCAAGGCTTTATCCCAAAAATACTCGACTTACTTTCACATATGTACATCCCCCTGACAACGAATCTTGGATTCCAGCTCCGTTTAATTTTAAACTTTTTCCTTTAGCACTAGCAACTTTGTACGACTTCTTTGGCACCCCGTCGACGGGATGTCTAAGGTTATTAGGGTAGCTGGCAATGCATTAGCCCAGCCAGTATTTTACGCCAGGTGAGTGAATTTTTGGGAGGGTACTGTACAGAAGGGCTTGTGTGTTCCCATCCATATGAATCTCGCATGCTTAAGCCGCAAACTTATGTGCGCGCACAGCTTGAAATCCAAGCTCACGTAAACTTGACTGGAAACTAAACTCGAAAAAAATGGAACCCGGAGGAAAAGATGGTTCTTTCGTGACTGGTTCTACCTTTTCTGAGCTAGAACCAAACTGAGATTAGAGATCAATGCTATGAATTGATTTTATTTTTAATAAACTCAGCAATGTGTAGAAATTAAATGTATTACCCAATATTCAATATTTTAGTTTTATAAACTTCAAAGATAATAGTAAAACTTTGGCCACTGTGTCTCTCATAGCCAGTTGCCTTCTGGCTTGGCATGTTAGTGGCGGCTTAGGACTTAGAACTCAACACTCAACTATTTTCGAGCCAAGTCAATGAGCAATTGACTGGCGCACATAAGACCTCCACCTGGTACATAGACACGTAAGTATAGATATAACGTATATATACTCGGTTAACTTTCGTGCATTCTCCCGGCATCTGCATATTTTTGCGCAAATATGTTTTAATATGGGTTAGAACTTTTTCAGAGCATTCGCTTCGCTTCTTTTTGGCCAGAGAAGTTTTCCTCTTCCGTCTACCGTTGGCTTCTTCCCACTCGGCTTCCTTTATTTTGCCACCGAATGCACTTCCGGCAGACACGCGAGGAAAACTGAACTTTCCACTTTGACAGATGTTTGTCCGGGTAAAAATTTCAGAGTCAAGTAGAGATTTAACAGTGACTTGGGTTTTCATTTTGTAATAATAATCTGCAATGTTTTTATTTTTAAGTCTAACTTTTAAATAAAATCTAATCAAAGAATGGAGGTAAGTAGTCATACCTGTAAGTCCATAACAATTGATTATCTAAGAGTCTTATGAGGTTTTCTTTTATCACAAATTAGATACAAAAGTTTATGCATTTGTTTTTTCTAATCCTGCAAGTTGTATGCACTCATCCTGTACTTTGGTACTTATCCTAGTCGCTAATTGTATTTATACACCTGAACAAACTTTGGGCTGTAATCACCAACGCCTTGTGACCAACAAAAGCGGCCCGCACTTCAGAGCCATTTCGAAGATGATGTTCGCCCCGGCTCCGCTTAACTTGAGCCTAGTAGTAGTTTGCAGTTGGGTGAACCAGCTGAAGATGCATCTGCAGTCGAGGAGGAGGATGTGAAGAAGCTGCAGACGACGAGGGGCTCTTAAAAGTTTGGTTTTAATTAAAGGAAATTTGCGTGCGTGGCACTTGATTTGTAGTTTTCTAGTGCTTCCGTATGGAAGGGGTGTGTGTGTGTGCGGGCCAAGGGGGCTAGGTAATGCTACCCGTTTCCCATTTTCCATTTCCCATTACCCGCTAACCTCATAAAAAAATATAAATATAATTGAAAATTCTAAATTGCAATTGCCGCAAGAGCTCCTCCATCTGCAGATGCCAAGTTTCCGAGTTGCCAAGATGTTAGGATGCTACGATGCTACTACCCTATGGGGCTGCGATGCGGGTCCGGGTCTGGGTCTGAGTCCGGGCAATTTCTTGTTCTCGTAATTAGAAGCAAATGCAAATTTACACGTCGAGTGTGCCGGTGATGACGGAAGTCATTGGTAAAAGCCGAAGAGGCTGTGGGTGGGCGGAAAGTTGAATCCAGGAGTTCCTTCCGTTTGTCTCTGCGCAAGTGTAGATATAATGAGAAAAGTTTGAGGTAATTCTGGGAGAGTAGATATCACCGAAGGTTAACTTTATTTCTCTGATAGTTTTATTTCTTTATGTTTTAATTTAATTATTAAAAATATTATAATATACCTTAACCAACCTCAATATTCAAGGTAATTAACACATCTTTTTGGTTATCTTTTCTTATCAAAAATCTGCAGGGTAGAGTCCAGCTATTTATTAAATTCACATAGATTCTTGACCCCATTCCCCTTCGCCTCAGCCCCCACTGTTCCATACAAATACACCTCATTCAGGCCAAATTAATTACCGCAAAGCTATTAATCAACAAAAGGCGAGATAACCGACAGATAAAGTGCGCGTCCTTGGCTTTCGAGTGGGCGGTAAGCCTGGGCGGGGGGCGGAGCCCGGGGATGGTACCACGAAAAAGTTAATTTAGTGTATTAAAAGTAGCCACAGTAGTAGCAATAAGTTGTAATGGCCACAGTGCGATAGGCATCGGGGTGGGATCAAATCCTTTCAAGCGTGAAATGTCCGAAATGGAAATGGAAAATGGAATTACCATTTGGCGAGCTTCCTCTTTTGACTTTTAACTGATGGGCAACAAGTGGAAATGAATGAATGACCGGAGGAAAAGTAATTAAAATCGCTCCTTGTCAGTCCTGCCTATCTGGGAAGTTGAGACAAAACTTTTCCATATTTCAAATCAAGATTTAGAACATTCGTTTCCCGGCTACCACACTGCCAGACTACCAGGTTGAGTTGTCAACGATAGCTTATAGGCGGCATTCCAGTCGAACGCATTCTCCTCCTCAATTGGCCTCCGAATTCCACTCGCCCAGTCTCGGCTTTAACCTCCAGGACCGACACCCCCCGTTTGATCTACTTCTGAGTAGATTTTTGCCTCACAAGCTTTTTGATGAGCTGGTGAGACAACCGCAGGTAAATGAGTTTTGATATTGACATGAATTATTCGCCTCACTTAGTCCAGCAAATGGGGGCGTGTTTGATATGTATCTTGAAACTCAAACACACACAAACACCCAAGAAATCTTAAACATTTGCACCTGTTGGGGCTGCCAGGATTAACTTTAATATTTCAAGATGCTTTCCAATTGTGGGAGAAAAAATATATAAGAAACAGATACAGGTTTTTTTAAAAGTTATTAAAAATCATTGATAAGATACCTCTTGTGAGGATTTAGATTTTGTCAGTTAGTCAGTAACATTAACATGATCATTTTAATTAGTATCTTTGAAATTTAATAACCAGATTATTAAATCTAAATAAATATAAGATAAGCAGTTATGGAAAAAATCCTTGATGGAACAAATATAACGTTATAAATGCCCAAAATGGCGCCGTATGATTCGACATTTTGAATGGGAGTATCTACATCCTGAAAAGTAGGCAACATGTTTCCCTTTGGTTGTAAAACTGGCTAACTGTACTGTTAGTACTTCTGCCCAAT